CGCTGCTCCTATGGCTCCGCCCCCCTCCCACGATTTTCACTGGCTCCAAAAATCCAAGATGTCAACCAGGAAGTAGCAAAACCCTGGCTTCATGTTCTCAGAGCAGAAACCAACGGGTGACGTCATGGTAGCTACGTCCATCTGTTATACAGTCTATGGTCTGACTCAGCGTGCAGCAGAGGATCATGGGTAACGTAGTTGTGGGTCTGTCATTAAACAAACATCCACAGGGAGCTGAAACTCACCAGATCTGAAGTTTGATTTTCTTCCCGTCGAGTTCAATCGTCCGGATTTTAAAGTCGATTCCTGAAACACAAAAACAACGTTGAGTTCAGAGGACAAGACTTTCTCTCAAACAGAGGCCCAGTATGGTTCGGTTCTGACGCTCTGCAGGTCCAGAAGCTCAGAGATCAGACTGGAGCTGCAGAACGTCAGAGATCGTTTTCTGGATGAATTATTATTTCTGTTCTCTGTCATGGACGAGGAAGGAGGCAGAAAATATTCACCCCACAGAATTTAGTTTGTTTGTAGTGAAAAAGAGTCAAACTGATTATCGATTATCAGAATAGTTAGTGACGAGTTAACAGGTGACAACTAACCAGTTACTGGGTCGTTGTTGCAGCTCTGCTGTCAGATCAGGTTCAAGCAGGACAGAATTATTCTAAAGCAACATGTTCAAGCCGTCAGCAGCTCATTCATCAGTCTGACGTCGTTTACATTCGAAAACCAGTTTATTTTAGTTCAAAACAACCAAAACAGAACGCACATAACGAGACACGAAGCATCACAGAACACCTCAAAGGGACGCAAACAACCATAAAGAGACACAAAATGACTGAGAAATTACACAAAACTACCACAACATGATGCCAGAGTTCCAGTCTCCAGAGCAGGAAGTGGCCCAGACGCACGACACAAACACAAAGAGACACAACGACCAGCGGGTCGGCAGGTAACGGGAAGCATCCAGGTGTGTGATGAGCTGCAGCTGACTCCGCCCTGCTGGGGGCTGGAGGTGTTCAAAACAAACGCTCAGGCAGAGATGTGTTTGTTTCTCTGCTCCGTCTGTCGACAGGAAGTCAGAGATATTTTTAACCAGCGAATCGCTGCTTCCGGCCTCCGAACCCTGAAACTGTTTCCAAGAAGCTGCAGAAGCAGAATCAGCACAAACCCACCGCAGACGCACCACGACTGCAGCAGGAACACAGAACCATGCAAAACCATCAGTTCCAGAGCAGGACGCGGGTCGGACGGGTTCCTCTGTGAGACGTCACAGATTAAAGACAGAACCTTGATTCAGTTCTCTTTATGTAGCTCAGGTGGTCTCACAGCGCTTCACATCTTCAGGTGAAGACGCAACGAGAGCAGCAGCAGAAAACTGGAACTGTGTTCATGAATCACTGATGGACTGATCGCTGCAGCTGCTTCATCAATAATCTCAGTGTTCTCAGAGTTCATCGATAAAATACAGCCAGGTTCAATCAATAGTCTCAGTTTGATCTCAGGGATGTGAAATAACAGCAGCTGAGAGCAGAGAGTGAGTCACAGTCAGCTGTTTCCTGTTTCTGTCCTGAGCAGGAAGTGAAACTTTCTGCTGCTTCCTGCTGCCACAGAGGTCAGTGACCGACCGACTCCTCCTCATCCTCACCTTCATCCTCCTGTGCTGTGCAAATTCATCTCCAACTGATCAGACGATCCGTTCATCAGTCCCAGTACGTTTTCATCAAAAGGAGAATTTCAGATTTTTTTATTTTGTCCTTTTTTTAACCAGGTAGGTTAATTGAGAACAGGTTCTCATTTACAATAACGAGCCGGCCATTTCAGCTTCTTCACTGAACATCTCCTGGGTTCTGTTCTGTGACGGGGAACTGAACATCTCTGGACTGAACCAGACATTTACAGAAACCCTGACCCACGTTGTTCAGCAGTTTCTGATGTTTTAGATCAAACATCATCAGAAAAGGTTCCAGTTCAGAGCCAGAGAAGGTTCTGATGGTGACACAGTGACATCATCAGGCAGCTGTTCAGTGATCAGTGATCAATATTCTGTCTAATGTTTAATGTTCAGTACAGGATCAATATGAAATAAACAGCTTCTTCTGTCAATAACTGATCAATTAATCAGTCAGCTGATTGTTTCATTCATTTACAGACAAATGCAGCTGAACTGACATTTACTCTGCAGCCACACAGGAAGTCACACACCGCACACACAACTACACANTCTCCATGGTAACTGATGCTGTGGAGCTAGATCTCCATGGTAACTGATGCTGTGGAGCTAGATCTCCATGGTAACTGATGCTGTGAAGCTAGATCTCCATGGTAACTGATGCTGCAGCTGATAGATCACTGATTAGAACATTGATCATCTATTGGTATTTATTACAGAGAACCATCAATCAGGAGCACTGATTCACTTCGATTTGCTGTTATTAAAGTGACTTCCTGTGTTATGGGACAGAGTCAGACATAAATGAGCTTCAGTACAACAGCAGGTTTAAATATATGAGGGTTAAAGTTTAACTTTAACGTGCAGCTGTCAGTGATCAATAATCAGCTGCATTGATTAGTAGCTAATACTGGCACTAACACTGCAGGTGGAGCAGCCATGTTGTGATGTCATGTGAGGTCGGGGGCGTGGCCTACCTCCTCGATGTTACGTATCCAGTTCCTGATGTTGTCGAAGGACTTCTCGGTGGTGATGTCATACACCAGCATGATGCCCTGAAAAAGTGAAGACCTGGTTCTCATTGATCTGATACCTGACTGATCAGCCACTGATCAACTGACTGATCAGCTCAAACATGATAAACAAGTTCTGAATCTTTGTCACAAAAACAAAGAAGTATTTTGGTTCTTTCATTGGTTTATTAAAGGTTTTCTGGAAACATGATCATCCTGTCGGGTCATAAATAAACATGCAGCAGTTTGAACGATCAGTTCTGGTGATGTAGAAAGTTGTCTTAATCAATTCCTCTTAGTTTCATGAAGTCCNGTAGAGATGATGGATGGATGAACCTGCTGATAGTTTTGTTTTGTCTCTACCTGATGACAGGAAGCTGAAATTGTCCGTCAGTGTCTTAAAACTCAGGAACTCACCGTCCGGAGCTGCAGCTGTTAATCATCGTTCCTTCGTCCGGTTCTTATTAAAAGTTGAAGCTCTGATGTCCAAAGATAAAATCAACACAAAGTGAACAAAATCACAAATATAAAATATGTTTATTAAAATAGTTGTTTTAATGTGAAGGAACAGAGCTGATGTGAAAAGGCCTTTATTCTGAAAGGTAAAAAAATAAACTCAAAGATTTCAGAAAAAAAAAAAATCCCTCTGATCAGCGTAACAATAATCAATACATCTGATCATGTGTGAGGAACAGGCAGCCAATCAGAGCACAGAAATACAAACGGCAACAACAAAACAGGAAGTGGTTTTGCATAGCGAGTTACAAAGTGCTGACCAATCAGAGCCATCTGACAAACGCGCCGCGTCGTTCAGCTTCATGCTTCATTCACTGACGTTTGAAGCCTTCAGTCCAGACTTCAGCTGAAACGTTTCTGTAAAGACAAACTGCAGCTTTTTCTCTGAATGGTTTTATTTCAATGTTTTCTTCACTTTTGTGCCAAAACACTGATTTCAATTCTTTTCTTTGTTCTTTGTAACATTTTTACTGAATATTTGTTTTTAAATGATCAAAGTAAATTCAGGCTTTAATGACGGACACGACTCCAAAGGATTATAACGGGAATATTACGTTAAATGATATAAAACTATTAGTTCTTTTGGTTAAAAAAACTCAGCGTTAAATAATCTGTGAGATTAAGACATTTCAGTGAACACAAGTCGACATAAAACAAACATCTGATCAGGTTGAGGCTTCGGGCCTCGTTGATTCTGACCATGTGGAGGTCGTTGGTTTGTTCTGCTTCTCTTCACACAGACATGATTTTATTAAACCTCTGAGGAGCAGAAATGAACTAAACTCTGAGAGAAGCACAAGGTTTTAATTTAAGCTGCATCAGCAGGACGAGGCTGAAGCCGTTTTGATCTTTTTCCTTTTTCTGTCTGAGTTCGGAGGAAAGTTTAGCTTTTTGTTCGATGTGTGAGTTGATATTTTCTGATGACGTCCGTCAGCTGCAGCTACAGAACGTCTGACGGTGATGATGTCAGACCTGCAGGTCAACAGCTGAGAAGCTACCAGGACCAGGATCTGCTGCACCGTCCTCCATGTTTGTTTGGGGCAGCAGAGTGACTCCTCAGGCTTTGGTTCAGGCAGAAACAGGCTCCGCCTCCTCATCATTAACAAACAGTGAGTCATGCGTTGGCTCCGCCTCCTTCACCTGCAGCCAGCAGCCACATTAAAACAGGAGAAGAAGAAGGAGGAGTGAAGGCGGAGTCACAGCAGGTTGATGGTCAGCTGCCGTCCTGAGGGAGGCAGAGTCTGACAGGAAGCTCCGCCCACAGCAGCAGGAGGCTCCGCCTACAGCAGCAAACACCTGAACAGACTCTTCCTGGAGCGAGACTCTGAGATCTTCACCGGACCTCCAGCAGACAGGTTACTGTCGTTCTGCAGCACAGAGGTCAAAGATCAGCAGTGTAACGTCTGAATAACGTCTCAACAACATTCATGTAATATCCAGCCAGTGTTCCTGTAACGTCTGAATAACGTCTAAACAACGTTCATCATCTAACATTAACTTCTAGTTCAACAGTGTTTCTACATTCAGAGAGTCGTATGAACATGATGAGTTCCTAATGATCTGATTGGTGTGATTGATTGATCCCATTGATCCTACTGGTCCTGCTGAGCTGAGTCCAAACCCAGTCTGTTCTTGTGTCTGTGAACTCACCAGCTTCCTGTTCTGGCGGCTCATGATGTCTCTGGCCAGAGTGAAGAAGGCCTGTGGAGGAAACGCAGCAGGTTCACGTTGTCTTCTGCTGATCAATCGTCAGTTACTGATCAGGATGGATTATTGATCAGGACTCACCTCCTCCACGTTGATGCTGGACTTGGCGCTGGTTTCCAGGAACTTGATGCCGTAGTCAATGGCGAGCTGAACGAGGAGACCAAGTTAAACACTGAGCACAGATTCAGACAGAAAACTGATGAAAACCCGTTTTTATAAAGTTCACTTTCATCAGAGCTGAAGAACGTCTAAATGGTATGAAGTCAGAGTGATGCTGCGTTCAGACACGTGTTCTACAGGAAACACTGAGCTCACCATGAAACCGATCTGCCTGGTTTGTTCATGATAAACCTGTTTTTATAGAGTTCACTTACAGCGTTGGCTCAATAATAAAGGTTTCATCTTTTTGTGACTAACATCAGTGTGCAGGAGCTTCACAGACATGAAGATGTTTCCAGCTGATGATTCACTTTCTGTTTTTCTTCCAGCTGATGTGTGCAAATAATTCTTCTTAATAAACACAAACTGGATCCACTTGGACAGCTTGGGACCATTTTGCTTTCTGCTGCGTGAAAATGATGCACGTTGCTTCATATCTGCTCAACCCGTTCCCTCAGGAACACTATCGGTCTTTCCCTTCATGAGTGAAGCTTCATGCTTTCAGGAGAACATCAGGATCTCACACCGTGATCGGAGAACTTCTACCTTCTCTCCTCTCTCTTTGGAAACTTGTCTCTTGTCGTTCATGTCACACTTGTTTCCCAGAACCATCTTCTCCACGTCTGAGGACGCATGCTGCAAACACACAGACAGACCACGTCACTCACACACCTGGACACACCTGGACACACCTGGACACACCTGGACACTAACCCTAACCCTAACCGATGGTTAATCTGAGTCTGAGGCTCATATCCAGAGTTCTGCACAATGAAGTGAGATGAATGTGTCAGCAGGTGTGTTGAGCCTAAATTCAGAGTTTTCAGAATCATGAAGATGTCCCTCTTTTAACCTGCTAGATCTCCATGGTAACTGATGCTGAGGAGCTAGGTCTCCATGGTAACTGATGCTG